AGAGTGCGGTGCGCCTTCTGACCGCCTCCTCAGGCAGGGGTAGCACCACTCTCGACTCTCAGGAATAAGATAGGACTTGGGGTTAGGGTCTGCAGAACAAGATGCTGCATCCTCTGGGAAAGAGAAGATGTCCCCCCTGGAGCAGTATGAGCAAAAGGTAAGTCAGACCTGTGGGTGCCTGCGGGTGGATGGGAGAGGGGTCCTGGACTCCAGGGTCTGAAGGAGGAGGGTGTTAGGGGTTCGGATTCCTTGGCCTGATGGAAGAAGGGACTGAGGACGTGGACTTCAGGGTCCTAAGGAAGAAGAAGGCTGGGGGATGCCCTCTTGGGGCCCAGACTCCTGAGGCCCTTACACCTGCTGCTTCCCCAGGTGAATGTGTCTGTTCCGAGGGGTTTTCCTTTCCACTCATCGGAGATTCAGAGAGATGAGCTGGTAAGAGGGCGACTGTTTTGGGTACTAGGGGGAGAGGTCAGAAGTCAGGGGCTAGGCTGGGACTCCCAAAGCCACACAGGGCCTTGGTGAGCCTCAAAGATGGCCCCTGCCCCATGTCCTCTCCACGCAGGCACCAGCAGGGACAGGTGTGTCCCGAGAGGCCGTGTCTGGTCTGCTGATCATGGGAGCAGGTGGGGGCTCCCTGATCGTCCTATCCCTGCTGCTCTTGCGCAGGAAGAAGCCCTATGGGGCTATCAGCCATGGAGTGGTGGAGGTGAGAGACACAGAGACATGGGATGGGGGAGGCATTCCAGAGCCTGGACGCAGAGGAAGTCTGAGATCTGCGGTCAGGTCCCTATGCCCCTCTGCTCCTCCCGGGCCCTCCTGCAGGTGGACCCTATGCTGACCCTGGAGGAGCAACAGCTTCGGGAACTGCAGCGTCATGGCTATGAGAACCCCACCTACCGCTTCCTGGAGGAACGACCCTGAACCAGTCCCCTTTACCCCTTTTGGCTGAGCCCAGACCTTCCCTCTTCCTGGAGCCCCAGAACCCCAACTCCCAGCCCAGGGGAGGGGTCTCAAAAATGTTCATTTCACACTCTTTGTGAGGGGGCTGGAAATTCTTATTTCCCCTTTCGAATTCCGAATTCCATTCCCGAGAAATCCCCAGGTCTTCCCAGCTACCTCCCTGCTTGGGACTTCCTCACCTTAATTTATTTTGTGAAGTTAATTTATTGTTCCTTAAGGTGACCACTAGCTTGGTCCCAGTGTCTGTTGTTCCCTAGAATTCACCTTCCCATGTGCTCTCCGCTAACAACCCAATAAAATCCTTTCCCCACCATGCCATCCTGCGTCTCTGTGGGGGAATCAGGGTGTAATCACAGCTCTGGACGCTTTTGTGGATCCCTGCCCAGGCTTCCTTCACCTCTCTTCAAACAGTATGTAGGATCTTTAAATCTGGGCGGAGCCTGTAGGAAGGGCTGGGGTTGGCGTGCAGGGGGCGGGGCCCAAAGGCTGGCTAGGCTCCCCCGCCCACTCAGGAGCTTTCCGTGGTGCTGAACGGTTTGTTACTTCCAGACCTCTCTTTGCCGAATCCCAAGACAGACTCTGAAGAAGCTGTGTTCTGGCAGTTTCTCCTGCCTTCTATTCACCCTCACACTCAATCACACACAGCATCCACCCCCAACCTGCGATCCCAAGGAGGGACTGAGAATCTTGAACCCCTCTTCCCATTCACAAGTTTTCATCCCTTCTTTGGGAGGCAATAGGAATCCCCCCCTGAGGCATGGAAATTCCAGTTAGGTGTCCCAGAGAGGGGAATGTGATGTCTGCAAATGCCTATTGGAACTTACACCTTCATGCGCCCCGGCTTGTGACGTTGGGGTTAATCCTCTGCATATGCTGTTCCCTGCCCTCTTGGGTTGTTATGGGGATTAAAAGGGTTAGTATTTGTGGAGATGTTAGAATTGTGCCTGTTACTTCACAAGTATTTGTTAAATAAATTTTAAAACAGTATGGCAGCAGGGGGACCCGGGTGGCTCAGTCGGTTAAGCGTTTGTCTTTGGCTCGAGTCTTGATCCCGGGGTCCTGGGATCAAGCCCCGCATCGGGCTCCTTGTTCAGCGGGGAAGTCTGCCTCTCCCTCTCCATCTACCTCTCTCCCCCGCTCATGCTCTCTCTCGTGCTCTCTCTCAAATAAATAAATAAAATCTAAAAACAAACAAACAAAAACAGTATGGCAGCAAATACTCATAAAGCACTCACTCTATGCCAGGCACTGCTCCCAGAGCTTTTTACATAGAATGACACACTTAATTACTTCTATCCCATGAAGCAAGTACTATGACTATTCCTGTTTATAGGTTAAGAAATGGAGATAAGAAGTTACATCACATGCCCTTGGTCACCACCTAGGAATGGCCAGAGTTAGGGATTCAACCCTGGCAACCTGGCTCCAGCATCCATACTCTTAGTTATTTTGCTAACCTGCTGTCTAGTAATTCGAGGCTGTCCCATATGCTGTTCAGGGTGTGCACTGCAAAATTCCAAGCGATACCCTTCACTTTCTAGACACTGTAGATTTGCATTTTTTACCACAACTTCCCAGCAGGTGGCAGTAACGTGTCACGCTCTAAGGTCAGCTTAGTACACAATTTTCTGACAGATGGCTTAGGGAGGAAGCACCTAGAATTAGATTTTCTCCCAAAGAGCCTATGAGCTCAGAGTGTCTCACCATAATATATACATGTAAATACAAGTCATGTATATTAAATATAGACGTGGTAGACATTGGGTGGAAGATGCTTACATGACGCAAGCTGGATACAATCATTGGAGAACCCAGTTCCAACAACATTCTGATACTGATTATACCTTTAGTTGTACTGTACCTAGAAAAAATCTATGACTAGTGTGACAGGGGAAAATGCTGCCTTTGTGTTTTCACAGTCAAGGGTGATCAACAGGCTAACAATGAGTAAGGAGCTCCAAGCTGGTGGAACAGGAAGTGAAAGGCCATTTTGCTCACTATGCTCAGTGTGTGATTCCTTAATAATGTTTACATATTAATGGCAATACCTGGGTAATTAATTTTAAAACACTTATTACTGAAATTCCAGCAGGGGATTGCTGTTGTTCATTTGATGCTCTTGTGCCACTAAGCTGCTCTTCTTTTCCCATTGAAAACAATTTGTTAATTTTTCTTTTAATAATAGTTTCTTAGAGACATTTTATCATTCTGTTATTTTAATATGTGTGTGCGTGTGTGTGTTGATACATGTTGGGATATGCATCTTATATGTCAGTAGACTCTAAGATGCCATCAATGATAAGAAATATCCTTATGGGGGGCGCCCGGGTGGCTCAGTCCTTTGAGCATCCAACTCTTGGTTTTGGCTCAGGACTGATCATGAGTACTGGGGTTGAGCTCCACGTTGGGCTCCACGCTCAGCACGGAGTCTGCTCGTCCCTCTCCCTCCCCCTCTGTCCCACGCCCCACTCACACACTCTCTCTCTAAGATGATAGATGATAGATAGATGATAGATAAAATACCTTTATGTACCACAAAGGAAAAAATCCAGAAATTAAACTATGCCACACAATGACTGTAAGGTGAATCCCAGTTAAGTTCTTAGAATCTATGGAATAATATTCCTAGGAATTCTTCATGGGTCAGCTGCCACTATGTGCACACACAGAAGAGCAATGTATGCTGGTCCAGGGCTGCTCGTGTGGGAGACTAACACAGGTAGCTCCTGAAACCCCGCCTCCCGATATTCAAGCCCTGGTGTAGTGCCCCTCCCCAAATTCTGGGCTTGGCCATGTGAATAACTTTGACCAGTGTGATGTCAACAAGCATGAGGCAAGCCAGGACTTGTTCTCTTAGAACACTTCCTCTTGGGGCGCCTGGGTGGCTCAGATGGTGGGGCACCTGCCTTCGGCCCGGGTCCTGATCTCAGGGTCCCGGGATAGAGACACACATCCGGGTCCCTGCTTGGCGGGCAGCCTGCTTCTCCCTCTCCCTCTACTGTTCCCCCCTGCTTGTGCTCTCTCGCTCTCTCTGTCAAACAAATAAAAAAAATCTTTAAAAAAAAACAGGAACACTTCCTCTTGGAACCACCCCGTGAAGAGATCCACCCACCTTCCTGGAAAAACCACACGGAGAAAGGGATGCCTGGCCCACTCTCAGTGGTTCCAGCCACCGCAGCTGAGCTGTCAGACATGGGAGTGAAGCTGTCCGACCCCATCAGGCCTCTAGCTGACTGCAGCCACATGAGTGACCAAAGCAGGACTGTCCAGTTGAGCCCAGCCCAGACTGTGGGATCATGAGCAAATAGAGATGGTTGTTTCAAGCCTTAACTTTTGGGGTGGAGACACGGGCACATTCCCCCACGTGTGCTCGGTTTGTTGTCCTTGAGAGGCTCTGAGCAGTGGGGGGCTGAGTCAGAGGGCTTTCAGCGGGGCTCTTTTGGTGATAAGATTGGGATGGAGTCCAGAGCGGAGGCTGTGGGACAGTTACGAGAAGGGGGCACTGTGGAGGTCTTCTTGGCTTGGGTCTCCCCAGAAGCAGGATTTGAGGACAATCTATTGGTAGGGGAGGTGGGACAGGACACAGGAAAGGGAAAGCAGTCAGGAAAGGGTAAGTCATCAAGCCAGAGCCAGTGGGTGGGGAACAGGAGCGTAACTCTGTTGGGGAGCTCTGAGAGCCTGTGTAGAACACACACTTCCACATTATCCTCATAGAGAGGTGAGGGACCTGGAGTCTTTCTGCACCATCTCCTTTCAGTCTCTGGTTTGAGGGCTGTTTGACGGGAAGTGGCATAAACTCATTGGCACTTAAGGCTACCAGGCTCATACCCAGGGTAGAGTGGAGTGGGCACCAGTGGTCTCGCGGTGCCCACAGGCAGGCAGACCACCACGTGCTGACTGGGTAAAGGTGACAGGATGCAGACTTGGCACCTCCAGTCTGCTACACCCCCCACCTCACACAGTCATCCGGACATGCCTCCTCAGCCAAGCACCACGGCCGCTCCCCTGCACCAACACCCCCAGAGACTGAGACAATGACAGTGCAGTCCAAACTGAGTTTAATAAGGAGTTTCAGGTAGGGGAGGGATTCACTGGAAATGCGGAGATCTGAGTTCTGAATTAGAAAGCATAGGACCTAGGAGAGTCCTTCCTGTGTCTCAGGGGTAAGGACCTGAATGGTGTGGGTCCTGGGGAGATTTGGGGGGTCATCTTAGGAGCTCTACTGGATGACACTGGGAGCTCTTCTGGGGGTACCCCAAGTACTGTGTAGGGAAATCCCATCTGGGGTTCTAGGTGAGTTGAACTAGAGTTGAGTAGGGAAGGGGTCCCAAAAGATTCCAATGGAGAAAGGGTCAGGGGTCTAGGGTGTTTCACAGAAACAGTCAAGGGGCCTCGATTTCACAGAAATCATCAAGAGGGCTCCTTGTGGGTGGGGGAGGGGTATTACACCACCCCAAATATTGGGGATTGTTTACCCCCAGCAGCCATGTTGGGGTTTTAATGTAAGACCCCGATGGCAGGACATTCCACATACATTATCATGGATTTGCAACATTAGCATACGCTGACTGTCCCACAGGACGGTGGGGACTGGAAAATCAGTCCAGGTTCTGGGTTTGAGTCCTAAGAGGACAGGCCTGGGGGTGCCACACGGCTCCTCTTCAATAGCTGCCGGAGCTGCGGACAAGACAGGGGAAGAGAAGTTAGGGAGGCTGGAAAGAGAGGTCAGGGCCACAAATCCTGTGAAGTTGGAGGGGAAGGTGGAGAAGCAGAGTAGAATCAATTGGGTTTGCAGGTCAGAGGTTCAGAGTCAAGATTTGGGGTTAGGGATGATGGTTCACACACTGAGAAAAGGTTTCAGGAGCCAGAAGGGATGAAGAGGGAACGTGTTGCTGGTTGGGGGTTCCCACTTTGGGGTTAACAGTGAGCACTAGGAGTCGAACGGTAGAGGCAAGGGGTCAGAGGTCACATTTAGGGGTCAGAAGTCCCACTTTGAGAGGTCAGAACTCAGGGCTGGGGCAGGGGCTTGGAGGTCATACTTGGGAATCCAAGGTCACACCTTGAGGTCGGGATTCAGGCTTAGAAGTAGAGGTCAAGGTTAAAGTAGAGGTTAGGAGGAGTCACCAGTACCAGGTCAAAAATAAAACACTGGAGTCAGAGGTCACATTTTCAAGTCAGGTTTGGATAGGGATCAAGGTCACCTTCTGAGATTAAAAGTCACCCTCTAAAGTCATAAATGGGTAGGGTCAGGGGTTCACCCCGTTAGGTCAGAGGCCACTCTGCAGTCAGGGTGGGCTCCGTGCTCACCCCCTCAGGGCCCGGCCCAGGCCGCAGCAGGTGGACAGGCTGTTCATTCTCCAGGTTTCGCAGTGTTGGATCTGCCCCAGCTGCCAGCAGGCGCCTCACAATAGCCTCCTGGGGGGGCCCAGGGGGCAGGGCAGCCGCCATGTGGAGGGCTGTGTTGCCGTGGGCCTGGGGACAGTGAGGGGAAGACTGCTAAGGATTTGGACTCAGCTGGCCTGGGTCCTCAACACTTCAGAGTCTGCCACAGCCAAGTCCCACACTCCTGCCTTCACAGCCACACCCCACGTGCCCCTACTCACATCCCAGAATCCCCTCCACAAACACATTCCACACACCCCTCGGTCTATGTCGTATACATTCCTGCAATCCACAGCCACATCCTATACGGTCCCCACCTTTGTTCCCTACATTGTCCTTGCCATAGCCACAGCCCACAGGCCTCCCAACATCCCCCTGCCCTTCTCCGTCACATCTCACACACTCGCACATTCTAACCTAGGCCCCCACCTTCATGTTGACAAAGGCCCGCAAGTCTCCCTGGGGCAGCTCAAGCAGCAGCTGAACCAGAGTAGGATTGGCGGCCTGCACAGCCAGATGCAGAACTGTCTTATTGCTCTTGATCTCCTGTAGAGAAAGGAACGTTGGAGGTCAGGCCAGTCCTCATACCCAGAGCCCCTCCCACAAAACCCAAGAGCCTTTAGACACCTTGTCTCTCCTTTGCAAGCACCCAGGGGTGCCTTACACAGTTATCTATGTTGTGCACTATACAAGAGTACCACCTTTAAGGGGGTGCCATTCACATCATACACATCACAGAACTATATGTTTATTTTGACAAATTTCTAGCCCGAGTGTCTTGGAGAAAAACACTCTTATCTAATCCTGCAAAAGAGTTCTGGGCTAGCAGCTGCCGTGGCCACCTGACATTCTATTAGGCACAGTAAAATGTATCCACATCCCACACGGACTGTACTTTATCTATAAGGATGGGACTTGAGCAGCATTAATCAGGGGACTCACTAAGCCCATGTGCACTTCCATACTGAGTTGTTCTCTTCATATTTTGGAGCAAATAAAAAGACATTTTCCACAGTGAAGCTTTATTATGTGCCTTTCAAGAGTTTGTAATGATAATGGACATTAAAAATATGATGTGCTTATACAAGGCAAAACAACCTAGTTGGCTCACCAGATAAATAATGAAGAGGAGACAAGGAGATAGAGCAGGAAGCTCTAGATTAAGAACGACTTTAAAAGTCTTATAATGGCAATATGTAGGTTTTATTTGGATCCGAGTTTTTTTTTTTTTTTTAATGAAAAAACAGTGTATATCACTTTAGAGTCAATCAGAAATTTGAACACAGCCAGGGTATTTGATATTATGAGATTAATTTTTTTAAGGTGAAATGATGGTATTGAGGTTAAAAGAGTTAACTTTAAAGACACGAATTTTTGTGGTTAAAATACATGCTTGGGTTTGCTTTAAAATACTATAGGAGGGCGCCTGGGTGGCTCAGTTGGTTGAGCGACTGCCTTCGGCGCAGGTCCATGATCCTGGAGTCCCGGGATCGAGTCCCGCATCGGGCTCCCCGCTCAGCGGGGAGTCTGCTTCTCCCTCTGACCCTCTCCCCTCTCATGTGCTCTCTCTCTCTCATTCTCTCTCTCTCAAATAAATAAATAAAATCTTTAAAAAAAATAAAATAAAATACTATAGGAAAGTCGAGGAATGGATGGGGCAGGACTGGGTATAAGTTGCCAATTACTGATGTTGGGGACAGGGAGGTCACTATACTATTTTCTGTATTTTATCTGTGTTCAAAATTCTTTAACTAAAAAACAAAACAAAACGATAAGTGGATGCTTAATTCTTTCAGCCAGCCCGTGAAGGAGCTACTACCAGCGGGAGGAGGATAACGTAACCGTGAAGGGCTAGAGTCTGGCGTGACGCCACCTTACTCTAATCCCCTCTCTGACTCTTACAAGCTGTAAGACTTTTGACTCCTGTGCCTCAGTTTCTCTATCAGTAAAGCAGGAAAAGTAATAACAGTGCACATGTCAAAGGGAGTTGGTGAGGATTCGATTAGCTAATCCGTGACACTCGGTGCTTGATGAATGGTAAGTGCTTGATAAATATAAGCTAAGATCAGTAATCTTATTCTCTGGGGCACAGAAAAATGAAGCCACGTGCTCAAGTTCACATGGCTGGCAAGGGGCAAAACCAGCGTTTGTTTGGAGCCCCTGGACATCCAGGTGACCCATCCCACACACCCTTCTAGGGACCGGCTGCCCACTGCCCCGCTTACCTGGCTGGTGTGATCAGCACCCATATGCAGCAACATCTGGACACAAGCCAGCCTGTCTCGGGCCTGGGTGCTCAGCACCCGGGAACATAGGTCAGGTGGTTGCATAGCAACGTTGAGGGCCAGGATGGCTGTGTGGAGAGGGGTGAGGCCTGCAGGATGGAGACGGTGAGGGCTCTGCATCCGGAGTGCCCACCCCACCCCAGCCCCACCTGCCATACCCACCCTGCCCACCACCCAACTTACCCTCGAAGTCTCTGGCTTCTAGGTCAACCTGAACCCCTGAGTTAATCACAGCCTGAGAAGGAGAAGGCACAGTGCTGGATTAGAGTCTCCCCAGGCCTCCTAGCCCCGGAGGCCAGGATCTGAGCAACGTCCATCACCTTGCTGGATGGACGTCCAGCAAAGTCCATCCCATTACCCCACCGGCCAGCTGGCCATACCGAGAGGACTCCTGGAAGCCCATAGGTAGCAGCCACATGCAAGACAGAACGTCCCTGATGATCAGTGGCATTGGGCTCTGCTCCGAGGTTCAGTAGATCCTCCACAATCAGGGGCTGGTTGGCGGCAGCAGCCACCAGGAGAGGGGTCTGCAGGGGATAAGAAGGTCAGTCTGGGCCCCCAGTCTCGTCCCCTCTGAAAACCAACAATCCAGGGCCCCAGACCTTTTCCCTCCAAAGCCAGGAGTCCAGGCCCCTGGCCCTCACCTTGCCCTTATGCTCACGGATGTCCAGATGTTTGTACACTTGGAGCATCTCAGCTGCGGCATATGCTGCCCAGCGCAGCCCCCGAGCCGCAAACAGGTGCAGGAGCCTGAGGACAGGTAGGGGACAAGCAGTGAGCACAGCACCCCAGTGAAGCCAGAACAGGCAGACTGCAATCCCCTATACTCACGTGTCTCCCTCCTCATCCTGAGCCAGCAGCTGCTGTGGCCCCAAAGCCAGCATGTGAGCACGGGCTGTGTCCAGGGATGGTCCGGTGGCCACAGGGGGCAACTGTGGGGGCCCTAGGGGGAGTCCAGAACCTCTCCAGGATCCTGCCTGTGGCACGGAAGGTTCTGCATAAAGCCGGGTATCCAGGGGGTCCTGAAGGATACATGTGGTGGGCAGAGCCAGTCAGCTGAGAAGTCCCTCTTCCTAACATATACCCATACACAGCCAGAGTGCCGGGTAGAGTGGCTGGGTGCCCCGTCTGTACCAAGTGACCTTGGACCTTGGGGCCTCAGCTTTGCCCATCTGAAGAATGGGATCTTAATCTAGCATGAGGGCAACTTGGAATTTTAGGGGCCCTTCAGCATCCTCCTGTTCCCACTCTGTATCTCACCTCCATCCCCACAGAAAATGAACACTGCCGCCCTGGGTCGGAGGGCGGGTAGAAGTCAGGAGTCGGGAAGCCTTCCGCAGCAGAAGCAGGGTAAGAGTAGGGGCTGTCTGTGTAGGCAGCATGCGTGTTGGGGTCCCAGTCTGGAAAGCCTGTGCTGGGAGCCAGGCTGCCAAGTCCAGAACCCACAGTCTCCTGGTGTACTGGGAAGCGGGAATGGCCTGTGTGTGAGAGGAGGGGCAGGGCCAGGCCTGGTTACCAGAGTTGGGGAAGTCACGACCAAGGCTGGAGGGCGGGTGTGAGGGCCTGGAATCTCCCAAGGTACTGACAGCTAGTACTTGTGGGACACCAAAGGGCTGGGACGCAGAAGCCAGGACACCAAGGGATTGAGAGCTTGGACTTCTGGTGGCTGGACCCTAGGGACACAGAGGGTTGAGGGCCTAGACCCAGGGAGCAGCAAAAGGCTGGGAGCCTGGGCCCCTGGAACACCCAAGGACTGTGTACATAGACCCGTGGGCTCCAGAGAATCTGGGAGCTCAAACTGCTACCGGGTCCCAGCAAGAAAGAGGGTCTGACTCCTCCGTTCCCCAAAGTTCTAAGATTTGGAATGTTTGAGTCCCGAAGAAAGCTGGGGCGGCGAGCTGAGGGAACCATATGAGTTTCCAGACTTACCAGCCTCACTCTCATTCACAGATGCGGTCAGGGGCTGGGCCAGGGGAGGCGGAAACTGTCCCTGTAGGGGGATAAACAAAAAAAAGGCACAAGGGGGAATTTATCTGACGGATCCCTCAGCATCCATTCCCGGCCCACAGAGCATCTAAGTCAGGACATTCCCGGCCCGCAGAGCATCTAAGTCAGGACGACACCTCTCATCTGCTCCGAGGGCCCACAGCCATCAAGTCTCTGCCCAACAGGACATGGCCTCACGAATTATAGTTTGCGGGGCTTCATGGGCCTTACCGGTACCCCACCAGCGTCCGGCTGCTGCTGACGGCGCCTCTGTTCTTCCAGGAGCTTCTTCACGGTCTGTGACGGGCAGTGGCTGCGTTCACTCCGGCTCACTACGCGGCGGGGGAGGTGGGGGGAAGCAATCAGAGGTCCTTAAGTCACCCAACTTCGCGGGGGAGTGGATTCAGGCACCCTCCCTCGCCCTCCTGCGCGGAAAAACTGGCACACTGACGCCGCCTGAGAACTCCACAAAGCCAATCTTAGCTTTCAGGTGCAGCTTCCGCCTCCGCCGTTTCCTTCCCTTTGCTCCGCACTTTCCCCTCTGACCCAACTTTCCACCAGCGTCGTGGAAACTGAGGAAGGGGGAGGAGGGCGCTCCTCTGCGGCACCTCCCCCCACCCCGACTTCTGAGAAAAATCCCAGCCCCCAGATCTCCCAGTTCCCAGGCCTGAGGGGGGTGGGGCGCTGGGAATCACTCCCTAGAGATGCACATCCAGGTTTCCCAACATCTCTCTGCCCTAGAAGCTGACCTGACACACATTCCTCGGGAAACCAGGCGTCCGAGTCCCCAGCCCCTCTCCCCAAGGAACCGCGAATCAAGAGCCCCCAAGCTCATCGGGGCTCCAGAAGTCCAGACCCCATCCCCCCTTCAGACCTAAGAGTCCAGGCCCCATTCTGCGGGACTCCGAGAGCCTAGTCCCCCTTTTCCCAGGACCCAGGAGTCCGGGCCCTCAGCCTCGCCCTCCCTTGCACCTGGGAGTCCCAGTTTCCAGAAGCCTGGTCCGCACCACCCCGGAAATCCGGACCCTCAACCCTCACCCTTCTGAGCCCTGGTTCCGGCGGAGGAAGGGTTAAGCGGAGGAGGGAGGGCGAACTCGGAAACAGCCCAGACACGACGTGCTGACGTCACGGCGCTCACGCAAGGGAATCTTCCATCCACCCCTTCCTCTCCCGCCGGCGCGCCGCAGGTGTCCCGCTTAGAGGCGGGGCGCGCGGCCAGGCGTGGAGCTCTCGGAATCCCCGCACGTGGGGAATTCCTGCTCAGCCCGGGAACCCGGGGTGGGTGGGGACTCGGGAATTCCCGGGACCCGGGCAGGGTCAAGGCCAGCGTGGACCCCTGCGGCCGGGCGCCGGACCTGACCCACACCCGCTCGTGGCTGATTTTTAAACAACCACGCCCCCAGGACTCCATCTCCCCCTGTCTAAAGCAAGGAGTCCGGGCCGCCAGCCCCCTCCTCCCACAGGACCCAGGGGTCGGGGCTCCCAGCCCTTTCACCCCCGGACCCAGGATTCTGAATCCCCGGTCCCTTACCCTTCCCCCCACCCACGACCCAGGAGCCCAGAATCCCAGCCGCTCCTCCGTCACCACCCAGAAGTCCTGGCCCCCTGCCCCCTCCAAACACCGAGTACGCTCACTCTCAGCACCCAGGCTTGAAGCTCCAGCCCGGTCCCTCAGGTTCGCAAGAGCCGGACTCCAGCTCTTGAGAAGAGGCCGAGCGTGCCTCACCTCCCCACCCCCTCCATTACCTCGCGGATTCCGTGGCGCGGATTGCGGGCCCCCAGGGCCGCGGCCTCGGCGCTGCGCCAGCCTCGCTCTTACCCCGCGGAGCCGCCGCCGGGTCCCCGATCTAGGGTCGGTGCCCCGCGAGTTTTTAAATTGGGGTTCTGGCACCGCCCAGTCAAGGGCAGGGCTCCGCCCACAGGCCCGGGAGTCCCCGAGTCGCGCTTGAACAAGCCCAGTCTCTGAATGGGCGGGGCTGACATTGAGGGTCCGACTCCTGAGCCTTCCTGGAAAGAGGGAGCTGGTGGACCCCATCTTTGGTCTGAGGGAGAAGCGGCCGGGGTTAGACACCTGAAGGAGGAGGGCACTGGGGACCTGGACTTCTGGGTCTCGGTCCAAGGGGGTGCCGGAGTCTTTGATTTCTGGGGCCTGGGTTGGGAGGGGACAGTATTACTGAGTCCTGGGGTAGGAGGAGGCTGGGGTTCAGGACTTCCTGGTCCCAGGGAGGGAAGGTCTGTAGGTAAGAGTGACATCGGTGGACTCAGATTTTTTCTCCCTCTTCCCCACATCACCTTCTTTTTCAGAGGTCAGTTCTCATCTATTCGTTCGTCATTAAAAATAATTTATTACTGCAAGGGAGGTACTTTGCTGGGTGCTGTGGTATAGCTGTGAACTAAGCGGACAGGAATTCCCAGCCCTCAAGCCAACTGACATTCCAGGGGAGGCTCATTCTCAGTTCCCACGTCTGTGGCCATGTTAATCATTTCTCCCAGGCTTTCAAGACTTCTGCTCTCCTGGTTCTCCTCCCTCACATGTTGTTGCTTCCCAGTTTCCCTGGCTGTTTCTGCCTCTTCGCCCATTCTTGGGGGCCAGGGGCACTCCTCTGTCTGAACTCACTTCCTTGGTGATCTCATCCAGTCCCGTGGCTTTAAATACCATCCATAAGCCATCAACCCAAAAATTTACATCTCCAGACCAGAGACTTATCCCTGAATTCACAGATGCAGCTGTGGTCATTCAGTTCCGCACGGAGATCAATCAGGCATTTCCAACTCAGTGTCCCCAGACCTTGGCGCTTTCCTCCTAAACCTGCTCCCCTCCTTCTCCATCCCTGTCAAAAGATGCTCCGCCTGTTCAGTTGGTTAGTCCAGAAGCTTTGGTCATCCTGAATCCCTCTCTCTCATACACACCCATACCTAGTGGATCAGCAAGTTTTGTTGGTTCTACCTCCAAAATCTCTTCAGAATCTCCTCAATGCCCACAACCTGGTCCATCTGTCACCTCCCACCGGGGACAATCATAGCAGCCTCCCTGGTCTCTGACCCTACCCTCAGTTCATCCCCAAAGGCAGTCACAGGGACCCACCACTTCTCCCCCTCCCACACCCTCACACAGGAAGCAGGTGACCTTGCCACCAGCAGGGCGACATCCGCTATTGCTGCTTCTTTACTCCCCCACTGTTCCTCAGGACTTCTCTGGACCAAAGCCTTTTGCCAGACCCCGTCTTGCCCCAGCCCACCATGGCCCCTTCAGGTGTCATGCTGCTCCTGCTTTTGCTCCCAGGTGAAGCCAGTGGTTATGGGGGGCGGCAGGCAGAGTCCTTATGAGAGGGGCGGCTTGGGTGGCCTCTGAAGGGAGGAGTGCTAAGGGCACGTCCTCCCAGGACCCCTTCCTTCCTGGAGATCTGTTTTGGCTTCAGAGCCTGGTTCTTGGGGGAGAGAAGCTGAGTCTGGGGTAGCTGCCTGTCAACTTCCCCTTCTCACTGCTGGGTCTGTCTCTACTTCTACTTCTGATTTTCTCTCTGGCCTCTTTCTCATTTGCTCTCTCCGGAATGGAGGTTACTTCTCAGGACAGCACCTCTCCCTGCTAATCCACTTTCCCTCTCTTTTCACAGTGGCTGCAGCTGGGGTGACCCCAGGTGAGAAATCAGCACCCCTTCCCTTTTGCCGTGGTACTGCTTCTATCCCTGAAGTGTGGCCTGAGGGTCCTGGAATGCCCCCGGTGGCTCTCTAGGTCACCAGCTCACCTCTCACCCCCAAATCAGAGCCCCCAGGGAAACTGCAGTCCTCTCTGGGTCCCCAGCTCACTGCCCTCATCATCAAATTGAAGCCCCAGGGACTCGGCCACCCCCCAGCCTTCTTTGGGAGTATTCACTATGCCCAAAGCACCACATATGTCTCTCTATGCTGGGACTCCCCCGCCACCGCCTGCCCGCCCCCCCCCCCCCCCCCCCCCGGGCTTCTCTCCAGACCCCCACCTCCCTTTTCATCCCCCAAGTGAACCTCAGGGAATCTCAGACACTCCTGCCTCCCTCCAGGGACTTCCTTGGGCCCCATAGGCCCCAAGTGCAGCCCTCAGGGTTTGGAACCTCCCTCAAGCGCCTTCTGGTCTCTGCCACACCCTCCAGGTTCCTGTTCCGGATGTGGGCCCCTCTCTCTGCCAATGCTGGCAGGGCTCATGGCCGCCGACGCGGTGGTGTCTCTGCTCATCATTGCGGTGGTGTTTGTGTGTGCCTGCCCACGCCACAGGCCCACCCTAGGTGAGGGCAGACACAGGGTGGGGCCCGGAGGGAGAGGTGTCCCTAGAGAGGGGGTCCCCAAGGGAGGGGTCCCCCAGGGAAGCCCTGGAGGAGATGCTGGGGAAACCCTGGAGGCGGTACAGGGGGGGAACTCCGGAGGAAACCCCTGAGGCAGGGGGTCCCCAGGAAGGTGGAGTTGTGGGTGGGTGGTAGGTGGTCAGGCCTCATGCTTTCTCTCCCCCACCCTCAGAAGATGACAAAGTCTACATCAACATGCCTGGCAGGGGCTGACCCCCTTGTGAGGCCTTTGACTTCTGACCCTCTCATCCCGCATTGTGTGCGGCCACACAGGAAACGCACTCCCCACTTTGGGGTGGAATAAAGCAATTAAACTACCTCTGGTTCTGATTCTTCCTCAAAGAAACCCCAGGGTCCCCAAACCTCCTTCCCATTTAGCTGTTTCTGCGTCCATGACCCCCCAGAACCCCACATATCCCTGGCCCCTCAGCCGAGAGATCTAGAATAACTCAAAGTGTTTTTGTGTGCCATGTTTATTTGGGGACAGTAGTGGAGAGAAGTCTGACCCTCAGGGAGGGCACTCTGTGGATCTGTATCTTGGTGGGAGTAGGAATAGGGTGCTAGGGAGGCATCAGGAATGACTGGATCCAGGCATCAGGTTGCTGACTGCTGTGGTTTGGGCTCATTTGTAATAAGGCCTCTGTGTTTTGAGGTCACTATAGACATCTGACCTCTGACCTTGAAGCTCCTAGTAGGAGGGACAGGGTGGGAACCATTAGTGGGTGAGGTCCACTGAATAAACTTATAACAAAATTCAGCCTTCTCCCAGTGGCCTAGCAGCTTCTTCAACCTTGCAGCCATGGAAAAGATCTGGATCTTAATCAAGTGCATTTAGTGTTTCCCTGTCTCCTCTGCCTCATCATTTCGCCCCAGCCTCAAGGCTTTTGCACAAGCTGTCCTCTCTGCCTGGAACACGGGTTTCCTAGATATCCCCAAGGATGGTTCCTTCTCCCCCTTCAAGTCTCAGCTCATGTCACTTCCTCAGAGAAGCATTTCTTGATTTTGCCATCTAACTTCTCCCCACCACACACACTCCAGTCACGGTCACACCAGTTTTATTTCCCCATGATACCTTCCCAAATTATCTTCTCTCTTAATTGGCTTCAAGTCCATCTCCCCAGCTGGGATGTGAACTCTCTTGCTATGTACGTGCTTAACAAATTCCACTGAAGGATGAATAAATTAGAATATTGCTTTGCCCTAAAATTTCACTACCCCCGGTAACCAAAAATTCCCTCATTCTTCTGGACCTCACAAAACCAAACTCGAGATGCTTACGCTTTACCAAGAGACTTTTTATCCACAAGTGAGGCAAAGCAAACCTGGCTGCAGATAAGTAAGAGACTTCACAGAACAAGGCTTACAATTTTGGGGGGTGGGGTCTATGGCCTCAAGAGGCCCTCAGACTGAATCCCTGAAATCATAAGTAAGTGATTGGTCTGGGTGTGCACCTTTATGGGAAGAGGTCTGTTTGGCTTCCATTAGATTCTCACAGGAGCCCATGACCCCCTAAAGGGCACTGATAGAGAGGCAAGCAATGGAAAGATGCCTCTGTCTGAGGGGTGGCTCTTTTTTTTTTTTTTCTAAGAGAGAGAGCACGCACGCATGCGTACGTGGAGGGGGAATCTCTTTTTGTTTTAGATTTATTTATTTGAGAGAGAGAGAGAACGAGTGGGAGGGGAGGGGCAGAGGGAGAGGGAGAGAGAGAATCCCAAGCCGACTCCCCACTGAGCACGAAGCCAGACGGGACTCGATCCCACAACCCTGAGATCATGACCTGAGCCAAAATCAAGAGTCAGATGCTTAACTGACTGAGCCACCCAGGCACCCCTGCATGGTGGTTCTTAAGCAGGGTCTCAAGATACCTGTGCCACCCCTAGATTATATGCACAATTTTGTAAATTTTTATGTGGATTTTTCTGAGGAGTCTCTAGCTTCCATCAGCTTCTCAAAGGGATATAGGATCTTCCAAAAAATTCTAAAACTCCTCTCTTCGGAGTTACCAAATTAGGGCTGAATTATGTCCTCTGCCCTTCTGAGAGCTTCTCCCAGAAATCATCTTGTCCTGAACAATTCCGTGCCTGCCTTCTCACTATGGCCTACGTTTGCTCTTGTGAAGGTAAAGCCCTCCCTATGTTTTCTCACACATTTTTAAGCTGAGCATAAGGTCATGATTTATCATTGAAGGCAGTTTTGGACAGATGCCCCATGAGTCCTTGAGGGTTTGAAATGTTGCTGAGAAAGTGGCTTTAGGGTCTAGGTTCTAGAAGGACTGGGGAAATGTTTAGGACAGGGTGAGAGTGAGATGTGAGGAAGAGAAGCTGGTTTTCTCACCTGATAAGGCGACTCTGTCTCGGTGACGCGCGGTTTCCTGGTCACTGCTGGGGGATGAGGAGTAGCGCAGAGTGCAGAGATAGTTAAGGTGGTGAATTGGGACCATTTTGCTGCGGCAAAATCAGCCCCTCCATCATTGTCCCTTTGGATGGTTGTGACTTGGGAACCTACCCCTCCCTCAGAGGGTCCCAGGCTATCCCCTGCCAGCCTCACTCACCCTCCACAGCCCCTCGCCCCCGAGGGAACAGCCGGCCCAGGGAGTACACGGCCAAGGCGATGAGGAGGGTCAGCACCAGGTCCCCCAGCACGATCCCTGCCAGCACCCCGGGACTTACCACGGAGCAGTTGCATTCTGAGAATGTGGCACAGGGGTTGGGGGTGGTCAGTGGAAGTTGGGAACTGGCAGGTGTCAGCAGGGGAAGGTTTGGAGAGACTGGGGAACAGACAGAGATGGGGAGGTCTTCAGGAGGTAGGGAGGGGGACTTCAGAGTCCAGGCCTACCTTTCTGTGCCTGGACAGGACTGAAACCTGAGGAGAGAAAAAGAAGGTAAATTGAGGCATGGGGCTGTGATTGGAGGGTGGGCACAGAAGCTGGGGAGGGTGGGTCCTGATAGCTAGGAGATAAGAGTGGAAAGCGATGTCTGGTGGGACCTGTGAGCCAGCATCAAGGTTACTGGACTAAGTTACTTCTACCCCGACTTGTCCTGTTGCAACATCCGTAGAGTCCCCTCCCCCTGCTGATGCCAGAGGCCACATCTTGGGGTCTCAGGCTCTGGGAGACAGCCATAAGTTTTGGGGGACTAGGGAATCTGCTTTCCCCCACCTCCCTTTTGGTTCTCTTTCTACCACGCTCCCTGCTCTGCCCCAAGCTGAGCCCAGGGACTCAAGAGGCAGCTCTAGAAGCCCCCAACTCACCACCCACAGCCAGAAGGAGAGGCAGGAACAGGAGCCTGTTGGAAGGTCCAAGGACCCCCATGACGCAGGCGACACTGCTGGACACTGGAGTCCAAGGGCCGGTGGGATGTGGTGTAGCGTCCAACCAAGTGAAGGAGGAAGTCTGAGGTGGGCGGTGGCAGGAGGGAGGAGGGGACAGCACAGGAGGAAGGACGGAGACAGATAATGCCAGGAAGAATCAGGCCAAGACGCCCCGTGCTGTAGCCCCTCACCGCTGGACATAAGAGGTAAAAGGGTACATGTGCCCATCCACCCCCAATCAGGGGTCAGCCCTCGGGGTACCAGGAAGAGTCAGTGGCTGTTACTGAAGCGAGTTTTGCCTCTTCCTGGCTGCTCAAACTTTAACAAGTCATTCAACCTCTCTGGGCTTCAGTTTCCTTCTCTGTAAAATGAGGAGTAAAATAGTGCCTATTTTGTAGGGGCTTGTGGGGAGCAAATGGATTAATGTCTCTAGAACAGGGTCCGACACTCGTCAGCTTTTTATAAGCACCAGCTATAATTATTTGATAATCAGAACTTTGTGATGTTTATAGGATATTAAAAGAGAGCCATCAGGATATGGGCACTAATGAGCGGCAGGCATTCGGTCCTAAGATGTTAACTCTTTTAACCCCCACAACACCCATCATCATCCCCATTGTACAGAAAGGTACAGACACTCGTGCAAGGTCACACAGCAAATAAAGCTGAGAAGGAAACACAGGACCCAAGGACAGATATTTGACCCTTAGAGAGAAAGAAAAAAGAACCAAGATGAAAGATAGGGAAGGAGAAAGGGGTGGCGAGGCCGAGAAAAAAGAGAGACGGATAGACAGGGACACAGACATGCACAGCACAGACACAGGACTGGGGTTTGGGGTGAGGCGAGTGGGGGACGACGTGCTGACCACTGGGCTGGGCTGCGCTGCACCACCAAATGAGGAAGTAGCTGGAAGTGAGGACGGAGGGAAGGCACCCAAGAGGAGACAGGGACTTCTAGTCCCCCCCACCAGAGCCTGAGCTGGGGCTGGTTAGGAGGAACCTGAGGTTAGGGCACTAGGGGGATGGGCCCGCGGCAGGAAGCCCCCTTCCCCCATCCAGGCGTCACACCCCACAGCTCCCTGGGCCTGGTCTCAGGAGAGAAAAGGGGAAACTGGATGCTGGTCATGGGACAGACTCTGAGTGGCCCTTCGTGGTGGGGGGATTTGGAAGCCAGAGGAGGGTCAGGGCCCAGTCGGAGGTAGCACTGGCTGCCAACAGCTGCCATCACCCAGACCTGGCCCAGTCCAGTTGCTAAAGAACCAACCGCACCCCCCCCCCAACCACCACCACCACCACGCCTGCAGTGAGTACGGGGAGAACAGGCCCCGGAGGGCCTCATGGTGGCTGAAGCTAAGTGAGCCACGGGGCAGTCAGAGAGCAGAGGAAGCTCTGAGCCTGGAGGGTCTTGATCTGACTCCGGTGCTGGTGCTTGTGGGCTCCCTCTGGCCAGGCTGGGGGTGCACACTGTGGGGGGCAGGGCTTCTGGGGTCCAGTTTTACTGTGAGGGTTTTGTGAGGTCTGTCAGAGTAATGTCTGCCTGGCATGTTGTAGCTGCTCAGTGAATCTTTTTTTTTTTTATGAAGATTTTATTTATTTATTTGACAGAGAGAGACACAAGCAAGGAGAGTGGGAGAGGGAGAAGCAGGCCTCCCACGGAGCAGGGAGCCCAATGTGGGGCTCGATCCCAGGACCCCGGGACCACGACCTGAGCTGAAGGCAGATGCGTAATGACTGAGTCACCCAGGCACCCCTGCTCAGTGAATCTTAATCACCATCCTCCTCATTACTGTTATTGTTATTAGTACTTCAAGTCTCCAGTTCTGGGCTCGCCTTGATAAACATCTTCCCTCAACCCCTCAGACTCAGCCCCCTGGTCTGATCCTCCTGACTCCAGCCAGGCCCGAGCTGTCCCCAGAATTCGGTCTCATAGCCAGCACACTCGTGCACCAACCAATCAAGCAGCTGTGGCCATAGGGCCCTGTCTGAGTCCTGGAGCCCCGCTTTTATTG